AAGCTTTACCGGTGTTGGCACATCCACTGCACTTGGTCAGTTTGACTTCTTGTGATCTATGCATGTTATCGAAACTAGAATTGTCCCTAAAACGGTTCCATTTGGATTTACTTGAAGGAATTTAGGGTAATGTGAAGATAACGACATATCTATAGGGAAATTACGTTTAACAGTGTTTGCAATAAGACACAGATGTTTGAGTGCCTGTGTAAATTCAGAAGACGAAAAATCTGAAGGCGGCTGTACTCGCTAAAACTTTGTGGTTTTCTTAATTTTAAATAAATATAAGTTGTGTTTATTAATTAACAAATCTCTCTGATATTCTGTCTTATATGCAACAGTCCTTTAAACATTTTCTGAAAAGTTACTATATATACACAATGCCGGTCACGGTAGACGAGCGGTCTAAGGCAGACACTGTCTTCGCTCGCTCGGAAGCCGGGATCGTGGGTTCGAATCCCACTCAGGGCATGGATGTTCGGTGTGTGTGTGCGCGCGCTTTTCTGTGTTTGTGTACACGTAGAGGCCTTGCGACGAGCTGATCACCCTCCCAAGAAGTCCTACCGAATGTCTAAAATGTAGTAAACCGAAGTGAAACGGAGATTTTCATGGAGGTAACCATTCGATATGTAGTAATCAGCAAACAAGGAATGCAAATCCTTGCTATAAATATCGATGATCTGTTTCCGATCCCAGAAATTCGTATGGCCGCCATCTTGTCAACGATCTTGGGGAAATGAAGGAAGTGTCAAGGCCCAATGGCCTCTGGTGCATTCACTTCACAGGTTGAGTGCAAGGAACATATAATAAAACATGGACACCGGTAAACTGACTTGCTTTCTAGTTTGCTATTCCTAATGGCGATTAGTTCACTAGAATTTCCTGCCTCGCCTCTGAGTGGACCAGATCTGAAGACTGGACTTTCTCTAACTACCATGAACCCAGATGCTTTACACGTTATCCTCTGCTGTTAATGTCACGAAACATCACATGGAACAAGATAAAGCCAGAGTAGGAATCAAGGTGTGGTAAAAAGGCGGAAATGGATACACGTACACAGATTTGTTCAGCAGAACATATCTAGGGGTGTACAGTAGGTCTATTGAAATGGATCTTAAAGAAAGAGGACTTAGATACAATTGGCTGAGGATTGGTTTCAGTGACAGAGCTTCTTGCAAACGCGACATGCAAAATTCTGTACACGTCCGAAATGAACTAGATATAAACTTTTTCAGACAACTTTTCAATCATGAAAATTCTTGTAATAAACATGAAGATAGCCTCCAGAATCTTAACTGGAATATATTGAATCAAACTTTACTTACAGGCGGACGAATATTTCTGAATTCAGTTCAGAGAATTACTGTGATAAACGCTCAGAAATTATTGTCGGTTTGTGATATCCTGCAAAAAAAGACTATTTTATTATATTGCAGTAATATTTCTTCAAAAGTCCAGATTTTCTATTCCAAAATATAATTCATAGACGCATATAAAATATTCTATAAAGAAAGCATAATCATATTACGCAGAAAGATATAGTTCGATATACAAACTTCGGAAACTGGTTTGTTTTATGCAATACATCGTCCAGTTAGCAGTCACTGGACTCCACGGTGGAAGTGGATTGCGTGTTTAACGACTGACACTCCTTTCTGACCAATAGAAAGAAGACTCATCTTGCAATATCTGTCTGCAATTGCTACAGGAAATATGACTCAATGTTACATAACTCTCTCAAGTGCCCTATCGCATTGCTTCGTCAACACACACGTGAAACGAGAGTGTAAGTGCGCACGGAAATCGATATACTGCACTCGCACTGACAAGAATCGATAAGAACAATTAACCGCATATTTTCAGCAATACGTAATAAAAGTCAGGCACATGGTCTGCGTGTAAGTGAGAACTAAGAACTTATGTCAACGCGCAAACTGTCATTTCCTTGCAGTCCTAGCTGTTGTTTCTAATGACAATAATAATAATAATAATAATAATAATAATAATAATAATAATAATAATAATAATTCAATTCAATTCAATTCATGTTTATTTACGTGCAATAACTCAACAGCACAGTGGCCAATTACAAAGTTAGCACGAGTATATACAGAAAATAATTAAAACAAAATACAAGTATGACAAATAAATCTGTGAACATAAATCTAAAGAAGACTGAACTATATACATACATTTATGAAATATTACTAATGTTGCTAATACTGTTAGTAACTAAATACTAAGATAAGACACCTGTGAGTGATAGCATAAAAT